CAGCTTTAACCTCTCTCTAATGTGTTCTCTCTATACAAGAGGATTATTAAGATTATAGGCATACCCTATATTCCTGACATCATCCAATCTAAGTCAACACTCTGCTTCTTTAAACCATTACCCATATCACCTGACACAAGCCCAAATCCTTTAATATGTCTTTTATACCACCCTCTTACTTATATGACCCACCTTTCCCCAATTGTGTGCATTCTCCTTCACTGCAATGAATAATAAACCCAGCTTGTTCAACTACAAATGTGTTCCTGGTGGCCTTTATCTGGAAGGCATTGACATACTGTATCACATTAAAGTTGATGACAAACCAAAATGAAGAATCAAATATGATTACTACAATAACCCCATATGCTAATATTTGTAAAATAATTTTCAGTTTACAAACACATTTATTTTGTATTCTCTCAATCAAAAATTCCAAGGCCTTGAGACTGAGAAGAGAGAGGGCTGGCATAATGGTGGCAATATTAACAATAAAAAAAAGGGAAAACAAGGGGCTGGCCAAGTGCAAGCTCTGAGCAACAGGGTTGCCAGTTCAATTCCCACATGGGCCAGTGAGCTGCGCCTGAGCTGAGCTGCTGCCGAGCTGCCAATAGGTGGCAGGATGCCTTAGCTGATGAGAGCACATGCCCCTAACAAGGTTGCCTGTTCGACTCCCTCATGGGATGGTGGACTACGCCCACACAAAACTAAAGACTGAACTCAGCACCTTGAGCTGAGCTACCGCCCAGGTGGCTCAGGGGATAGAGCTTGTGCTCTTAACAATGAGGCTGCTGGTTTGAATCCTGCATGGGATGGTGGCTACGCCCACCTGCAACTAAGATTGAACATGACACCTTGAGCTGAGCGGCTGCAAGCTGCTGATGGGCGGCCGGATGGTGACTGGACTTGGAGCTGAGCTAGTTGTGCCCTCCACAACTAAGATTGAAGGACAACAACTTGGCTGTTCCCCTTCCCCAACTCCCCAACACTGTTCCCCTCCCCCAAACCCCCAATAAATCTTTTTAAAAAAGAGTAAAAACAAAACGAAATATATTGAAATGGATTTTTTTGCTAATGGAATGGTAGACAAAAAGCAAAATTGTGCTTCGGACAATGAGTTTGAGATTATCTGACCACCAGGGGACGCCCTATGGGCCACAGAAGGGAAGACCTAAGTTCCTCAAGTTCCAGAGCAAAGTGTTTCAGAAAAAAGCGTCCCTTTGGATGGTTAAAAAACTCCCCAAGCACCATTCCCAGTCTCAATAACATCTCAACAAGTACAATGAGACAAATGAGACACTATAAATATAAATGTAATCACTGTGTATTTCAATTTTTATAAACCCTTCCCCACCCCAGGAAACATCACCAACCAACTGAGAGGTTACCCAGACAACCTACATTTTCAGAGGTAGAAGGGAAGGTAAAATTCGGTCGGGACAACTGATTAGAACAGCGCTAACAGATCTCTGCAATGATAGAAATACTATATATTTGTGCTATCCACAGTACACTAGCCACTATTCATGTGCCGCTAGTGAGCACTTCAAATGTAGCTAGTGAGAATAAGAGACTGAATTTTCAATTTTATCTATTGTTAATTTAAATAGTCACATATTTCTAGTGGCTTCCATATTAGAAAATTCAGCTCTAAAGGAAGTCTCCTCTCCTGCTGGTGGACCAGATTCAACCACTTGCCTTCATCCAAAACATGCTCTTTGTGACTGCTTGGAAAATTTTAATTCATTTACAGCCACAGTTCTTCATAAAATTCCACATACTTCAAACATACTAATCAAAATCATCGGTTGCTTGTAGCTTCTTATTTTTACCATTGCCTTGTTTTATTTTTTAATAACTGACAGGTATTGCCAATGTCATGCATTGTGCTTATGTGATGAATACTTTTCAGAAAATGAAGGATCTTTGAGGTATTCCAGTATTAGCATGAATTAGTACAGGTTGTTTTCATCCTTTCCACTGCGTCATGTTTCCCTGCCCCTAGGCCTTGAGCCAAAGTTGATAGTTGAATTTTACTACTATATGGAGTGAATTAATCCTTTGGTGTCTAACCTGGGGATATAATCATAACAATTGATGTGGGAAATGTATTCACAGTCTAAACCAAACTTTTCCCTGTACTGTTAAAACAAATCATCCCCAAAGACTGTTCATATATCAATTAGCTACTTATTTTCTAAATATGAGGTAAATTTTAGTTCTCCTGCTTACTAGAAAAAATGCTGCCTATATTCAGAATACCATGAACAGACAAATATTCCTGCACCCCTGATATATTTCTACACCGTACAAGACATTAGATGATAAGAAAACATATGGAGGCAAATTTTTTATTTCTGAAACACAGCACTTGAGGAAGTATAACTTTTAAGAAACATTTTTGTTATTATCTTTCAACTACCTTCAATGTCTTTGTATTCATTCATTCAGATGAGGAAGGAAGCTATACTTAGGTTAAAATTGGTTGCCTAGAACTTAAGTTCTATTTTGCTCTTTTGTAGTTTGCAGCACTTGTCTCAATTGCTGTTCTCTATGCTGGGTCATCAGGTTGTGCAGCAGCCACTGGATGCACATGGTCCTGATGTTCTGGAGGCTCTACCTCTCACCAGAGTAGTAGTAGCTGCACATAGTGTGGGCACATGATGACGACTGGGCCAGATGTGGGCAACGTTGAATTCTGGTACCTTGCCCATCTATTGAATTCCTCTGCATGGGTCTAAGCACAACCTGTAAAAGTTATCCCAGAACAGCTTCTCATGACTTGAATGAGATGTCTCTGGCTGAATCCTCACCTATCACTGTTCTCAAATCCCTTTGGCCTTTCCATACTTGAAAACCAATCCCTCTTGGGAACTGAATGAGACAACTGATATTGATTATAAACACCTTTTGCTTTTGCAAGCAGGAAAGCTAATTCTTCATATTTAATTTTATAGCAACTACCATTGTTCTTAAATTAACCTGATTATTGTTTATCAACCAATCCAGTCTATATTTCATCTAAATGACCTTCCTGGGTGTGTGACTCAGAGCCATCTCCTTTTGAATAAGCAGAGCGTACTTCATCACTCATCCATACCTGGCAAAATCAAGGAATCCTTCATTGTCTCTGTTCCATAGCTTCTTGGCAATGACACATTATCTTACAGGTGCAGATAAGCTTTGGAGGCTGAGGCCTTAAGCTATATATATTTCCCCTCCACTCTCTTTTTATACACTGTCAATGTATTTTCCTATTGCACAATTTATTGAGACACTTTCAATCAGCCTTTCAGTAAAGCCCCATAACAGAATATTTCAAATATAACATAACAGTATACTGCAATATACAAATTTAGGGAACTTTCTACTTCAGGGAGTGGCAAATGACCTAAGAGGCTTCCCAGTGTCAAGGGATGTTTTGGTAACTAAAATAACATTTCTTAGACTTGTATCTCTTCAATAAATCATGTTGTCAATTCAGAAAATATGTGTATTTTCCCTCATATTGTACTTCCCTTGCCCTTAAAAGGTCCATACTCCCTCTACAACCCATCATTTGTTTAGAGTATTACATTTATCTGTACAGTATTTAATATTCCTCCTTCCTCAAAAATGAAAAAAAATTTAATTCATTTTCTTTCATTGTAAGTTTCTTTTGTGCTTGGTCTGGTGCCTGGCACTAGTAATCCAGAGTCTTGCAGCCCTATGGGGATAAAAGTTTGATCAAGACATAATAGGATTACAGTTGAGGAAAGATGTATCTCTGCCTTGGAGGTTGAGAAACAGTCGGCCTTGAGCCAGATCTCGTACATTGAAGAATGGGCAGTTGTTTGCAAGAACCAGCGAAAGTGTCACAGACAGAGAGCTCAAGATGTTTAAATAGGTGGAGAGAAAACAATACAACAATAATAAGGATAAAAGTTATTTTAGGAACTTCAGACCTTTCTTCCCTAAGCTAAAACTTTTTGTGTCTATTTAAAACGGAGGCATGACCCAAAAATAGCTGATTCTCTCTCTCTCCATCTCTCTCTCTCTCTCTCCCGCTCTCTCTCTCTCTCTCTCTCTCTCTCTCTCTCTCTCTCTCTCTCTCTCTCTCTCTCACACACA